TCTACGGATGGTCAATAAAAGAAGTTCATGTATAGAACTGTCCAAGCTGCCGATTGAACTGCCAATGTAATAAAATATCACATAGCACTTGGAAACATGTATAACTTCGATCAATCCTAAATTTTTCTCAACAAAAATTTTATTATGCACTGTATACCTTTTATATAACAGCTATACCAATTATTTAACAGCTTTAAATATTTATAGCTGTTATATAAAAGGTATACAGTGCATAATAAAATTTTTGTTGAGAAAAATTTTGCAAACACAATTAAACTTAAATAAAAATTCTTGTAACTAAATCAAAATCTAATGAGACAAAAAGTGTATTTTAGTTAAATAGTTTACTCGCTTTTTCCCCCGTTAGCAACAAATAGTTGACTGTGTACAAAAATTTAGCTATTTAGTTACCTTCTGACGAATAGAGACAAAACGTTGAAAATAATGAATGACCCTTAGCGCGTGATATACTATACCGTAGTATAAAGCTCGCAAACGACGCAGGACTCTGTACGTGCTCTCAACACCACTGTGGGAATATATAAACGGAACTGAACATACCTAAATGAAAGATCGTTTTCCAACTACTGGAGCTCTATAATACGGCTGTAGCGAAATTACGAGGAATGTCGCTCTTGAGCGGTGGGTTACGACAATGGGAATTTTATCTGCCATTTCGCGAATATACACGCTCGCACCGGACGCGATTCGTGCAGGGAAGAATCCTCTCCTGCGTAAGAGAGCGCCAAGCGTCGGAGGTAAGAGGCCGGGAAACGCTGCTGAAACACTTGCGCACGCCCGCGTGCGTGCATATTGCGGGGAAAATAGCTTAGTTTCGCCGTGGGAGCGAAATTAGATTTTGTTCGAGAAGACGTTCCAAATGTTCGCTCTCTAACCTTCCTTTCTTTTATCTGTCCTACCGCCACCTCTCTCCTTGAGGTATCCACCAACCACCCACTCCGCCTTCATTCTTTCGCGTCTCTCTCTTCATTCTGGACCGCCACGTTCTTCCTCCGCCAGGCTTCCCCGCTCTTCCCTCTTCCTTTGCGCTGAGATTCCGGTTTCCCCGGAGACGCTCAACGACGTCGCGACGCTTCCCCACGTTCCGCGGTACTATGCATATTTCACCGATTTTTATGGAATTCCTCGTAGACTTCTTTCCGTCTCCCGCGCCTCCTCTTTTCTCCTTCTCTATTTCGATTATAAACAGTATTTTATTCTGTTTTATTTTCCAGTCGTTTACCTTTTCTTTTCTCACTTCTGTTTTTGCTTTTCTTATTTTCTTATTGATTTATTTGGCTCCTATAACTTCTTTGATAATTAATCATTATACGTACAATTAGATGTAACGCATTATGCATATCTTACCTATATCGCAATTTTGCCTGAGGTATCAGAGAGATTTCAAAATATGAGATAAAATAAGAATCCACAATAAGAAAAAATTTGAGATTTTTGTTTGAATTAATAATTTACTTTAATGTCATTTAATCGCTTATTTTGATTAATGAAAGATCTTAAAGGTTAAATGTTAATCGTGTGTAAAACGCGTTTACCGCGGCGTTATTTTATTATATGTTGCATTAATTATGTATTAAGCTAATATTATTCTATAAAGAAATTTAATATGTTCTTAGCATATGTTTCGCTTAGCAAGATTTCGACATTCACGTACAAATCGCGTAGGAGTGGATCATTACCTTTTAAGCAGTGCCACGTGGAATACGTAATCACACATCATCCTTGTTCACTCTCACGCACGAAGGCTACGTCAATAAATTGATTACACGCGCAAAACTGCATGCCACTAATCCGGCTAACCAAATTAGGATACGTGCATATAGCATGGAACGGCGTTATTTGTCATATCTATAAATATCCTTTATCTTTTGCAATCGTATAAGCAATCATGGATATGCCATTCTACATATGCCCCGATTACGTATTTAATTAAAACTCCAAACAATACTTCGTAGATATTATACATATAAGCGTAATGTCTACAAACATTATTATTGTATGACATTTTGATTTAAAAAAAATTCTCTCGTACAATTGTTCTATTCTTTTATTTGTTAACAATACTTTCCCTCTCATTGTAATTGTTTGTTTCCGATTCCCAATATTAATAATGCGCATATATATTGATATTATAACTTTAATCTAAAAATATATTTAATTTAGAAAAATGTAAAGACAAAGGTTAATATCTTGTTTGTTAATTAAATATAAATTCCATCACACATAGACTTTCACAGGAAACATATTAATATTAATAATGAAAGTACTATTACTTTCTTCATTAAGATTTAATGTGATAATAATATCATTAATATATGAGACCTTTCTTCTTGTTCATTTAATAAAGTGGAGTACTAATCGTCTCTTCATTATACTTTCTTTTTTTAATGCCAATGGAATTTCTTGTGGAAAAAGGTCAAATCACTTGCAGGAGATCGTTGAAATCTTCTCGATACACATCGCCTGTCACCTTTCTCCGCTATAAATTTACTGTGCTCTCTTTCCATAAAATATGAGAGCCGTCAAATAGAAAATGTAATATATACATAAATACAGACACTTGAACTCTCCGTCTCATTTTTTTTTTTTTTTTATATCTAGCGATTACTTTTCCCGATAAATATTAGAATTTAGAGAGTTTAGTTATTTTAACAAATAAGAAATTTATATATATAACATAATTGGAATAAGTTATTTTCCTATCTATACCTTTTTTCTTATCTACGGATCGCACAATATCGAAAATTTTAAATAATAATCTTTTTTAATTAAAAATTTCAAAGATTTTTCTTCACTATTTTAACTTATAAGTTGATTACTAAAATATTTAAGAAAACATGTAAAAAATATATAAGAATGTTCCTTATGCAATTAGAACTACAAGAAATTATCTTCAAATTTGTTTAAAAATAAGTAACAATTCTCATCTATGATATGATAACATTAATTACATCATTACTCGTAATACATACGTATCGCGTGCAAAAAACCGTGCTAGAGACCCACTTTGTCGTAATGCGGATACGGAAGAAAAAACGTAAGATGTGAGAATGTCCCTAATCGGGTGATTGTAATTACACATTACGTATTGTTTTAAATCGCGACTACATGTACGAAATCGTGAAAAATAAATGAACAAACGCAACCGTGTCTTCCGGCTTGACATGAGAAGGATTTTTAGCACCGCACAAAAGGTATTATTCTAATTAGGCCAAGTCGGCGAGAAATTAAAGAAAACGTCGTCCTTAGAGCACCAGAGCGATTTAAGCATTATTATTTTCCAGACGTCCCCTATAAAATCTCGCGTAAGAAAATTCTCTTTTTTGAGGATCTCGCTTTCACAGCAACTATTTGCTATTCACAGGAAAGACAATTTTGCCTTCGGCGATGGGACTACGCCGGGCATACCGGCAACGATACATCCGAGACTCCGCCTGTCGGCTTGCCTTATATTCCGTATATATCGCCCATGAGGCAACAACGTGCCTCTTGAGATCAGTATGACTGTCGGTGTGTACGGATACGACGTCAGTATGGAAATAAAGCACTTCCGAGCTCCGCGAAAAATGCATACGTTCCCGCTGGCTAACCCTTGAAACCTTCCTCCGAGATCCCCGCCAATCCCTCCTCGTCACCAGCTCGTCCCCCAAAAACCGGCAACTCTACGCGATACGGAGTACGATTAGAACTACAAGAGAAGGAAGTCGTTACGCGCCTTCGGGATCACCTAAGAGCTGATAAAATTCACTTCGTCTTTGTAGACATCAACTTTTTTCCTCGTAGCAAATTCTAATGTCTTATGCGGGTTTGATGAATTTTAACGAGCTCCGGAAATTATCATCACCGACTATAAATATATTCGTTCTTCTAATATCTGCTGTATAATCTATCTATAGTTTATCTAGTATCTATTTAACGTGAAACAAGATAATTTGGTTATAATCGTACATTATCTTTCCAAGCTTATAATAAATTTAATCTTTCATAAGAAGATTGAAAAAATGTTCCAATAAAAAAATCTATCTTGTATAATAAGTTATAAATAATTTAAAATCTAAAAATAATGCTAAGTTTTTACAAAAAATGAGTAACATTTTAATATTTTAAACTACCTGTAATCATGTTAATCGCATATTTAGAAGACTCAACGAAATACTAAAATTACATCTTACGTTAGCATATCGTCAATTAGTTTACTCAACGTGACCCACTGGTTTAACGCGAGCAAGCTTCTCTTTATACTAGCGGGTAACGTGTGAACATTCTCATAGCTTCAGTTTCAGATTGCACAGGAAGTTTCATGATCGTATTGTCTAAGTAACACGAAGCGGTAGGTGGCAAAGAGGAAGAGAAGAAACGCACGCGGAACGATGTAGATAGTGAGAAAAGAAGCTGATGAACACCGACGGCGAATGGATTCGCGTGGAAAATCTGCTAGTAACGATTTTAGCACGAGAAACTGGGTGCTAACCATTTCCAACCAAAGACGATGCGATAGCGTTTCATTTACATAACCGTAATTCTACTTAGTGGCGGATACCTAATTCCCTCATACGTTTCCGTTTCTCTGCCGCGCCGCCGTGCCAGAATTCGCGGTATTTAGGCGACCGCCGATTTAGCTGAGTACTTTCTCGAGACAAACACTTTCAAATGTGCAAACTTGTAATCCACATTACCGCGGGCCAATCTCTGCAAATGGACTCGAAAACAACATGTTCCTGTAATATCCTACGCTGGTTAATGTGCCAATATTTACGACCGGTCTTGGTACAGAGCATGGTTGTAAATAGAGAGTAAATCACGTAACGCTAATGACATAGAAAAGAGACGTTTATTATATAAGAATTGCAATTCATTATCATTCAGTTTTCATTATCACATTCAATACTGTCTCATAATAAAAATAGGATAAAGGTAACAAAAGGAGTAGAAATAAAAATTAAGCTCTATTTACAAAGTATTCATATATTTACATGAGGAGCATATATTAAGAGTACAGGCTAATAAGATCGTTATATCCGGCGAGTGATAGCATCGATTGCTCGTCGGATATAAGACTCTCTCTCTCTGCGTATATGTATAAAATATAAATTAAAGTCCTAATAAAATGTATATAAATTAAAATTCTTAAAAAAAAGGTGGATATGGGTTAGGAGCAAATGGATGCGTTTTATGGCTTGGCAGTATCGTCACTGCGTACTTTGTAACAATGAGCGTCTCTTAAAACTATACGCTCTACTTATTTTACGTATCTGCAATACACCAAGTTATGCATAACCGTTTGCCAGGCGAAAGGGCATAAAAATGCAAGAACTTTAAGATTATGCCACACTCGGGATTTTAACGGTGCGCTTTCACGACAGGCGCTCATTTTCAACTTATACGCGCGGAACTGCGAATCCTGAGTCGCATAAAAGTCGTTAATACGCGAGCGGCGGAAGGAAATAAACGTACATCGCTCGCGTTCTCTCGTGCCCGACAGTAATCGACGTTTCGAGGTTGCGCTCCGCGTTTTTCCGCCGTGTAGCGGCCCTTACGGCATGTGTGTATTTCTTCGCACGCACCTAACAGCGGACTAGACGGCAAATAGGTCCGCATCCACCGATTATCGTCACAAAGGCATGCAAAACTAAGCGTAACGCGCTTGCACGTTCGCGGAGACGAGCAATGCGTTTCACTCGGAACGAGATTCTCATAGGAACCGGGCGCTGTTCCGCCGGGTCGTCAAATGAGGTTCTGAACTTTCACCTCGGTGAAGGCTAAAACCGTGAAAGACACGAGGCCGTCGATCAATCTCTACTCCGACCGGCGAACAGCCAAGTGACTTTACGCGAGTACACCGTATCGCTTAGCTCTATAGACTTCGCGAGAGCGGTACCGTAACCTATTGACCTACATAAGTGTTAATAAACGTCGCGTAATACGCCTCGTACCGCGCTTAACGTTTTCATGCATTGTGCGAGAGCAGCGAATGCCAGACTTTGCCACCTCCTTCGAATCGGATCGAAGACGGTGGCATTATCAATATAAACCGACGAGAAAATCTTGTTCGATATTAAATAATTCCCTCGTTCTCGAAAGAACTATCGAGTCAACGAAATTTCCATAGACGAGGATAAGATAAGCCGCTGACGCGAGGACACGGAAAAATCGGAGCGTTCTCGATCCTCGGTCGGGATCTTAGCAAACGTTTGACCTGATAAAAAGGATCAGGAGTCATGGACGTAAAAATCTTCTCGCACGATAAAAATGCCGTTGATATCCGCATCTCAATCGCTTCCGGTGAGAGGCGAGAAATTCTTGTAGTAGGCGGATTAGACGATTCGTCTAATGAGACGTTATCGATACTGGCCAACAAGTAATTATCACTTTCACTCTTGCTTGCGTGAAAATAAGATAAAAAGGATTGCATAAACTTTCGTTTCATGCTCGCACATTTTATACCTTCTAATTTCAGTTTTTAGTTGATCAAATATTTTAAACGTTCTCTCAACGTATTACTATCAAAAATTACGTAATCTCTTGTCCTCTCACAAATAATTTTAAAAAATAAAGTAATCAAACGAGTTACTGGAAAGTTTCAACATTAAATTGCAAAATATCAACTTTTTTAGAAATAAGAATTCTAATACATTGATACATGAAAAGATGACTGTTCGAGCTTGTGATATATTGAAAAAAAATGTGTAGCTCTAAAATGTTACACGTTCTTACTCGAATAAAGTAAGAAACATTTAAAATTGTGTCGCAAGTATAACGACACAATTTTAACAAAAATGGCTGATATTTTGCCGAAATAATTAATCAATCACAAGCAATGAAAGTAAATGGCATCACGTTAGCAGCGATATCTTCTCTCTCGTCGGAAATGAAAATCGACAAATCTCTGCAAAGAGAATCAGGGCGATTGAGGCTATATTAAGAATATTATAAAATATTTTCACAAAGGCACTCTCTTATAAGATAATTTATGAGGATTTTGTTTTATTGTTTTGCTTATTTTCCCTCGTGGCTTGCGTCTCGTTTTTCAACACTGACCTAATCTCTTTTTTTAGCTCTCCGTATTTAGTATCAAAGAACAAAGCTACTGACGATTGATTTTTTAAATACTTGTTATCCTCGTCCCTGTCGCTGACTTTCTCGATTCGTTCTTGTAATTCATTATTTTGCGCCTGGCTATCTATGGTGATAAAGTGACCGTTAGTTGCTTGCGGCACGTCAGGACCGAAAACTTTATCCAATTGCTGAGCCTGAGGTAGACCTTGAAGTTGTATAGGACCATTTTCCGGCTGCTCTATAGCAGCCAATATGTCCTGAAGTAAGCCATTGGACAACACCTGATCATGTCTGATGCTACCATCCGAGTTCTCGGTGCCTAGTCCTCCATCCGCTGGTTGTATCTGCAATCTGTAAGTGCCTTTGGAACCGTGAATCTCGAAGCCGTCGGCATTGTCAGCGGTCAGTCTCTGAGCCAGAGACAATGCCTCACTACCCTCGCTCGATTTCAGAAATTGACTAGCGTCCACCTCATTTGATCCAATATTCTTTTCTTGATTATTCTGGAAGCCTTGCGCGGTCAAACTTGCAGTCAGCGCTTCAACCGAAATTCCCGAGCCGTGTTCGAACGACGTTGCCGCGGGGTAAATATTGTGAGACTGACTAGACAATTGCCCGGAGAGCTCGTTCGGAACGTCCGCGACGGCTGTGTGAATATCTCTGACATCACTCGCTTCATCGGACGAATCATAAGTTAGACCTACGGGATTACCGTAGCTGTCTTTTAAGTTGATTTTCTGTTGTTCGTTATGTTGTAAATCCAATGTATTCACTGGGGGTCCTCCCAGAAAATTATCGAGTGGTTTTGTAAGCGGCAGTGAGTTATCTGCAAAGATGGAATTTTGTTGATTGATATCAGATAAATCGTTTCCCGTGAAAACTGAATTGTGATTGTCCACGTTTCCAGCAGTTCCTGCATTTTCAAATCCGAGTTGCAGCTTGCCGTTAGAATGCGCGGGTAATCCACCACCTAACGATATCCCCTCGCTCGAGGGCACTTCACCACCTGAAGATAAGCCTCCACTCAAGTGTAGCTCTCCGCTGGAATGCAATTCTCCGCCTGAAGGTAAACTACCGCTTAAAGGTAGTTCTCCGGTTGCGGACAATCCTGTACTTGAATACGACGCCCCGTTCACGGGCAAGAGTGGCTGCAAGGAATTGCAGTCGTAACTGCCGCCGACTGATAACGGCGCGTTTACCACAGGTGTGCCGTATGTCGTTGTTAGCGCATTACTAATTCCACTGTAGAGATTACTGCCAAATCCGGAAGACGTTGAGGTGAAAGAAGTCGGTGGACCAAAGTTAGGTGCTCCATAAGTTAAGTGTGGCATTGGTGTATTGAAATCGTTGAATGATAATGGAGTTCCATATTGAACGTGAGGCGCGGCAATTGGTGAATTTAAGTTGTGTACGTTAAATGAGCCAGACGACCCGAAAGAGCCCGAAAATAAGTTGCTCGATCCCGACGTATGGCGGAAAGACACTGGCACGTGAAGATTCGGTAACTGCTGTTTTGCAGGTGGCGGCAAATATCGATTAATATTCGACAAGAGTCCCGTTGGTATTGGTTCTCTGAATTTAATCGGTTCCCGATTTCGTGGTGGTATGAAAGAGCCGACAGGGATTGGTGGTGGCCTGAATGGACCATGAAATCGAGGAGAATGCAGATTTTGCTTGTGGAAAGAGCCTCCAAATATTCCGAATGATGAAAACAATGGACCTCGTCCTCCATGCGCTGCAGGGTAAAGACCATTCGGCGAGTAAGAGGAAAGAGGTGGTGCACCATAAGAATTTAAAGGTGGAGGAGAAAGCAAAGATCCTCCTGATATATGATCAGCAGGTTTTTCGAAAGTAACAGTTGTTAAAGGCGGGCCATAATCGCTCAATGGCGCCTGCTGCGGAAGCTGCTGCAAAGACAGATCGTTTCCTATATTTTGAAATCCGTGAGAATCTCCGCTATTGCTTAGAGCATCAGCGTGGAATCCGCCATTGTCCAGCGGCAAATCTAGCCCCGAATGGAGTGAAGCGGAGTTGGCATTAGCTGAATTCGAGATGTGATTGAATGATGAGGTGTCAGAAGTGCCACCTGACGATGAGATATCCGAGTTCAAAGGGCCATTTGCGGGCAACAGCTCAAATCCCACTGTCTTTATGATAGACAAGGGTTCAATGTTTGGTGTTCCGTGCTGTAAGTTTAATTGTTGTCGACCGAACTGATGATCGGACTGACTCGTCGTAGTTATGGCCCCCGGACCTTGATTGTTGTGCAGAGGTTCGTTCTCCGGCAACGGCGGCGGCGGTAATCCATTACTCTCCGAAGAAGCCGAGGACTCGCGCACGGATGTCTTCAGATCTTGATCTTCAGGATTTTGTAACGGCACGCCGTAAGAATCGCTGGGCACATTCGAATCCATTGAGGCGCTCAATTGAGCGTGAGACAATTGCGACGTACCTTCGACGTAATTATGCTTCGCTTCGAGGGGAGCACCATATGTATCTGTCGGAGGACCACTTTGATTAGGGGTGGTGGCCAATCCCGCAATGGGCTGCCATCCATCGTACTTTATGTCAGGGGGTGTGGGTGGCGCTGGAACTCCTGGCGGAGGCGCTGGCGGTGGAGGTCCATATAAATCACCAGCTGGTGGACCGTATTGCGGTTGCGGCGCAGATACGGGCAACGGCGGTGGACCGTACTCGTCATTGGGCAGAGGATTAAACTGAATAGCTAATTTCGGAGGTGGTGGACCGTAAGTCTCGAGCGATATAGGGATAGGTGGCCCGTGACCTGGCTTAGGCGGTATATATTGCTGACTCGATGTAGCGACGAGCTTCAATGGTGGACCGTACTGAGGTTTCGGTGATCTGAACGGTGGAAATGAAACCAACGGCGGCATAAAGTGTTGTTTCGGAAGCCCGTAATGAAGTTTCGGCGGGCCGTAAGTCGGCTTAGAAAAGAGGGAAGACGTTGCCAAGCCAAAATTTTGTTTCGGTGGCCCATATTGCGGCTTGATACTTCGTGGCGGCCCGTAGGAAATGGCCAGCGGTCCAAATACAGGCGGCGGCAATTCCGGCGGTGGCGGCGGATAAATAGGCGTCGGTCCAAGATTACCAGTTAATTCCGGAGGCCCATATACCGGCGCTGGACCTTTAAAACCAGACCCCAACGGTGGCCCATATTCGTCAGACGGAGAATCGAAAGTATTACTTATTCTGTCATCGGCTTTGACCTTGTTGGTGGATTTCTCTCCTTCCTTGATTAACGGTACTTGCGAGGTCGCCTTGTTGACCACCGCTTGTATATGATGTCCAATTAACAGGACGCAGAACAGAGCGAATAGCATCTAAAAGCAGAACAGGATGACTAGAATCGGAGAAAGTGACGACTTCACGACTATTGCGATTAATTGCGTTTTTTTTCTTTTCCACACTAATTGTCTATAATCATACTGAAAATAAACACGTAGGATATTATAACTTATGTAACAAAGATAATAATACGTTACGCGCTCAAGATCTCGGAAGATTTAACTCAGCAAAAACGTTACTATTTCGTAATAAAGCTAACATCATTTTATTTTTATTTTACTAGTATTTTAGTTTTTTAATTTTGCTATTAATTTATATAGCTTTACTGTAAATTCGATTACGGAATATAAATGTGAATTAATTAAATAGTAATTGCTTATTTAATACTGCGAACATTGCAATTTGTAAAAACTTAATTATTGTGTGTGTGTGTGTGTGTGTGTGTGTGTGTGTGTGTGTAACTGTTAAGTTATCTTTTAATTTAATATATTAAATTAAAAATTCGTAAATTTTTGCTTTTATACTTTTTTATACTTTTACGTCTTTATGTTTTATTTTTTTACATATCTATAACAAAACATACGTATCAGAGTATACTGCGTAGATAAGCACTATATTATACGATTATTATCTATTCCTTGTTATAAATGTTATTATCAAAAATAAAAAAGAAATAATTACATGTCTTACACGTATTCATTCAAGTATTCAAAGCGCCGTACTATGTACGTGTTCTAATTAGTTCGTTGGGCGCTTAAGAATAGTTTCGCAGAGCATATGAAAATCACCTATGCTCGCTATTGTGTAGTAGCCATATTGGAGGCCGTGAGAACTCCTGTGTTATTCGCTTAAGCCCGGGAAGTCATCTCAACGTATGTGAAAATTATGTAAAGTCACGTTTACACATTCTGGGCATTAGGGAAGCGTACACGTGAGTGAATAATTACGTCAATTGTAAGCGGAATAGCAGGTGTTGCATGAAGATAAATTACGAAAAATGAATAGATGAAGTTTCTTTTGAGATGCTAATTCAGTCTATTTTTAGTACAAAACGGCAACTCTTAGAACAAAGAACTGCTATGCACACGTTTGTGCATAGCATTTTGAAACAAAGATACAAAATTGTATGTGTTTCGTAAAAAACGTAGTTTATCAGAATATATTTATTTGATCGATCGTAATTGTTAACGATTAGCTAAGTATTCTTCCCATGACATATAAAACTAGAACGCACAAAATTTGTGCATATGTTTTCGTCATAAATATCTCTTGCAAAAGAAGCTATTAGTTATGCCACATATTATCTGCAGTAATAGACATTAGATTACTATTACACTAATAAATAATATCAGCTACATTAAAATTTCAAAGCTCTTCTATTACAGTATAAAAAAAGTTAATTAGTTAATTGATTGAATAACATTATATATACATGTTTTTAAACTTGTTAAAAAACTATGCTTACAATTACAATTTATGTAATTAATTCACGTAATATTTGACTGTAGCGACAATACTATGACAAATTATATACAAGATTATTTTTTTTCTACGATAATCAGTTACAATAGCATTTTTATGTTTCTTCTAGAAAATATCAGACCGATGAGAAGAAGCGATGAAAACATAGAAGCTCACCGTCTGTCAATGCCGGCAAGAAACCATTGGCTTCTCTTAAGTGGCACGATGACCGAGATGCAAGGCTAACATAATCAACCGTACTTTCTCCAAAGACCACGGGAAATGTTTGCAACCCGGCAACGTATTGCAATGATTGCAGTTTCAAATAATTGCATCTTTAACGATACTTATACAGCCTCATTTTTCATTGTGACATTTGATTATTTATCCCCAGAACATGTGTTAAAAAAATTTAGTTTAAGTTTAAGAATTAAAGCTGAAGAAAAGTATTAAAAAAATGAGATATTGTACTTATAAATAATTATACTTTTTAATATACTTGCAATTTCATCGAGCTCTTTAGATTTATTATCACGATTTAGTTAATAATTATTTGCTTGCCATAAAAAAGTATAACAATCATAATTATATGTTTCATACAATACAACAAATTTTCAAAACAATTTGTATATTATCCTATTAATGGCCTATTAAATTTCTTTATCATAATTCTGCAGCAGTAAAAATTAAACTTAATTTAATTGATATCTAATATAACAAATTATTTTTTTATTTAAAAGTTTCTAATTGCTCTTAGTTTGCATTTAACATTCATTATTTTGTTAAAAAGATCTTTGAATGCTGAATATATATCTTGAAAAATAATCTGATCATTTACTGATCTATAATTGGTTTAAGAACTTAATGCACAGTTATGAGACAATTGTGCCAATAATTATAATCAACGAAACTTTTCATTTTTTGTAATTCAATCTACAATCTACAAATTCTGTAATCATCAAAATAAAAGACAACGATATTGTTTGATTAGGCTAACAGGCTAATACGATAAATATAGAACATACAAGACATCATACACGCGATCCATCAACGCGAATGAGCCCAACAAAAGAAACTTCCAATCAATCGAGATGTGTTTGTCCGAAATATATTTTCACATTACTTGAATTATATCGTAAACATCGAATACAAAATTTTTTAGTCATTATATATGGAATACAAAATTCATGACATAGCTATATTTCGACTCGAAAAATTTTACTCATTTTATTATACTTTGCTTTTTCAAATTAAGTTGTTGTCAAATGCCTGAAAGAGCGACTCGATAGCGTACTGCATGCAACATAAATAAAGAATATCTATGAGAATAAATAGAATCTAAATTTAAATATCTGCCATAATCACATCGATTGAGTGCTCATAATTAAGAGAAAAATGCAGTCTCTCTACAAAAAAATTGACGATTGTCTCACTTCCTTTCGCGGAAATAGTCACTTTTATACCTGGATTACTTTTCCATGCGAATTACACTTTTTACTGCCCGTATGGAAACGCGTATATCTCACGCGGACTCTCGTTTTCACGCACATTGTAATGCACGTGGGTGCAATGACCTATATTCTTTAACCAGTATAATTATCTTTTATTTAATTCTTTATTTAATTTTTGCACTTTCTATGTGTAATACATGCAAAAATTCCTCGAAGACTTTGAAGCAAAGAGACTAATTTCCTCGGCAAAGGATGGATTCGATCAGTACTTTAGATTAGTCGTTATCAGACACCGATAAGAAACTGCCAATTAGTTAATTTCTGGTTGGAAATAGTCGCAGTATAATCATAATGTGTACGCCTGAGATCCCTATCGTGCACTCTTTTCATAATGCATGCGCCCTTCCTTATTAGTACGGAAATTTATTCACATCAAAGGTGTAATGCTATTTCAGTCGTAGAGATTTTTGCGCATTAAAATGTGTTTCTTTCTTTTCTTTTATTCCTTGAGATAAGACTGGCGCAATACATATACATGTCTAAAAAGTCGATTAATCAAAACACAAAAATCTATAATGCTTGTATTGTAGATATATATGAATAATTAAATTAATAAAATATAAAATAATTTTAAACTTAAATTAAAATTTTTATTAAATTAAATTAAATAATTTAATAAATTTTAATTTAAATTAATTTTAAGAAAGCATGATTACTATTTAATTAAAAAATTCTTATCTTTAATTTAAAATATTTGGGAATAAGAATTTTTACATTTTTATAGTAACTAATAATATTTAATTTTTTAAATAATAACGATTATAGTCATTAGCTTATTATAATTCAATGGAAAATATTAATAAGTAAAAGTATAAGTAAAACAATAATGACTTGATAACTGATTAATAGATAAAGTAAAATTTATTAATAATTTCATACAAGGAATTAAATGCAAAATTTATTTGAACTGCTGTAAAGCATAAATTATCACCCGGAAATGCATAAATATTATTAATTGAAGCGTTAGAGTCATCATGTGTTACAAGAAAAAATGTAGTTCTATTAATAAAAATTATAATAAATGCACTAATTATTTTCTCGAGAAAATTTGTTATTTATCGAGATAAATCTTATTACTGGCACTTTCAAATGTATTGCTTATTTCTAAAATAGCATACATTAAGATGTGAAAACAACAATAAATTTTTAAGTAAACAGCTGTAATTCACAACTAACACAATATATATATGTACAAAAATAAGCTAATAAAATCCATCTACTGTAACGTTTTCAAAATTTAGCCTTTAAATCTTCCAAGATAGACGACGTATTTTAACGACATTAAATAAATCAGAATTAAAAGTTAAAAATTACTACGCAAGCTCTAAGATACTTTATTATCTAATATAACTGTATTCGTCACATTTCCATTAATTCGTAGAAAGGATAAGCGTTGTGACTAAACTAAGCATGACGATTCAGACTCACTGCGACCTACCTTGAATTTAACCATGACACACGCGCATAAACCGCAGTCTCGACACTACACACAGATTATCCGATACTACGTGGATCTCCTTACTCTTGAAGCGTTCCCTCAGCTTTCGCCACCGCACTTTAAGGGAAGTCGCTTCTAACCGGAGCTTGTCGTATGCGATTTAACGGTGGCTTTTCGTATCACATGTCGCGCACACCATACTGGCATTCGTCGGCTCGCAGCCTCTTTGACAAGCGAGCACCACGACTCGCCGGTACTAACACAAAAAATGTTCGGTCTCGTATGAAGACCCCGCTTATATAGACTCCGAGAAGACTACCAGTCGGAGGAGTTGTTGACTGAAGTTGCTGGGTGAATCGTGGAAAGGAGACCCGGGAAGAGGAGAGAGTGAGTGCGCCTAAGGGTACGGAGAGAAGAGAGAGGAAGAGAGAGAGAGAGAGAGAGAGAGAGAGAGAGAGAGAGAGAGAGAGAGAGACAGAGAGACAGAGAGACAGAGAGAGGGCGTACGACACACAGAGAGATGACGTGGGGAAGAACGCGAGAAGAGACAGCCCTCCTCATACGTCGTTTAAAAATTCTCTTTGTAGAGAAAGTAGGCTAGCCTTGCCTCGCCGAAGATGCGCCGTCGCACGTGTATCCCCCAGTCCCCGGCGACTACAACGCGTCCGTCGCGTGAAACCGGTTGTAAATCCTTCCGCAGCATATACAAAGCAGTTCGGAAGAATTGGTCAATCGGACACTTCACCCTATACTCGACAATAAGAACCGAACGTAAGAGAAGAACGTAAATTATCGCGCGTCCGCTCGTCTGGCCGAGACTGAAAAAGTGCAGTAAGACCATGGTTTGCATAAAAATGCAAGTGAAACTTATGGTAAGCTGTCTGTGTATTTTATGACTGTGAAGGACATTTGTTTCGGCAGGTTCAAAACTATTGGCCAATAACTGAGCGCTGACAGATATGTATACGCACTTGAGATTCATTATAATATTTATTCTTTTTAGGATACTTGCCGGCTTTTAGTTCAAAGATTGATCAAGAATCAGTAATACATACTCATTGAGATTTGAAGGATGTCCATCAAGAGTGCTACATCGCATGTGTGCACGTAAGAAATCTTACGTAACGCGATGCAATAATTGTAGATGGATGTAATCTTCAATCATACTGATTAATTATCGCAATGTAATCGGAACGTGTAGCAATTTTAATACGATACAAGAGAACAAGTTGCTCTTTTCTGTATAAAGCCTGTTTCACTAAAACTCATAATTATTGCTTATATCTACGTGGAATTAATTAACGAAGAAAAACAGCTATTTAATGATTACGTGCTCAAAAACAAGAAGAGTTTGTCGGTAATAAGATAAAATTAATGAAATTATAGTTGCATTTTTATATTTTTCTTGTTATTTATAGTAAATGTCATTTGATGTTAAACTCTCTCTCTCTCTAGTTAGTCTCCTTATAATTTCTAAATAATTATAATTGTATTTGACATTTTAGGAAACAACTTCTAAAAGTTTGTCATGAAAAAAAGTTATTTTTGTTTTCTTCAAGCTTCAAGCACTAAAGATGTATTAATTCGATAAAATAAACACATTTCAAGAAATAAGAAAAGATCAAATAGCTATATATATATATTTTACTTTTACGTAACGTTTTACGCAGAACATCGTTAGGACATCTTTAAGCTTTTAATCATGCTCAAGATTTTCTTTCGATGTAAAAAGACGGGAAGCGGCAGTTTACATACCTGCGCATAACGGATGCACACTAACATATACATGTATACGTATATATACACATACGCGCGCCCCTATTGAGATCCATTATGTCGTCATCAATAATTCAGCGGAAAAGTGCCGCCCCTCACGGTCTGGCTTTGCTTGTCTGTCGACAATACCATCTATCGCTGACTCTGTTGCTGCCGCAAAAACCTCGAAATAACGAGAGGCCGGCAAACAAAATTGTTTCGTCCAAAAGTCTGTGTGGTATAGAGGAACAGTAAAGGTAACTAGTTGCGGTACGCGTTGGAATTAATTGTCCAACGACACCGTCCATCGGAATTTTTTCCAACCCCTCTTTATTCACCGATTTCTGCGGGTCGAGTTTCCACCGCATTGTTAAAACGATCACTGGTGTATTGTCATCATAGAGATTTATTCTAGCATTTTCGAACATATTTTTTTATTTAGACATATTTATTGTTATTAATTAAATAGTGAAAATTTATTTTGTTACACTGCTTTATACACATTAATATTTTAATATCAATTTATACCAAATGCATATAGTACAATATTAATAATATGTTATCACATATACATATTGTCAATATTTCTTGATATAATGTAGTGTTAATAATTGATTTAGAACGATATTATATTGCTGTTTATAATATTGCTGTTTTATTTTATAAAATATATTAAGTTTTCCTTTTATAACTTTAAGTACTTTAATATACGTTTCACATTTATAACTAATATATTAGTTATATTAGTTTACAACACAATTTCTGAAATTTAATTACAAAGTGAAATTGGTTACGCTGGATTTATAAATTTGACATTTATACACATACAAAATACCATAAAGTGATTTTGTTGCATACCTTTATTTCTAATGATTAAAATCCGTTGTTTTGTAAGATATTTTAGATAGAATAAAGGTCATTTTTGCAGTTAAATCAACGGATATTCCGTCTTCGACAATATATCCAATATATCCAATCTTTCAGAAAACCTTAATTTACGTCGATAATGTCAGAAGAAATTGGAAGTGTTAGTTTTATCTTTAATCTCATCTCTTACGTATGCGCTCCGTTGACGTTTATATCATAAATAATGTGTGCGCACTCAGAGAGAATTTTCTAATCTGATTAAACTATCAAACTTACATTACTGAAGTTATAGTTTCATACATTATCCGCTTCTTCCTTAACGTATATTTATCAAATTATATAATGCATAGAGAAACTTTTAAAGAAAATTCTAATAAAATATATGCATGAATAGTTTAATTTCATAATTAAATAGATTTTATTACGCATTGTATTAAATAATTCTTTGGAATATTTTTGATAAAACAATTCTAGATTGCTTTACGAAATGCTTTCAAGAAATGCATTTTTGCACGTAAGAATAAGTGTACAAAAACGCAAGAATTGCAATGTCTTTCTTATTTCAGATCACGCGCGTGATATTAATCTAATAGTTTATTTCATGTAACGAGTAGTTAACCATAAAAGGGAAGCTATCAGTTACAGCAGGATCCATGGTCAAGGTGAACGCTCGACGGGCATTGAGTTTTAGGGTCACGTCAACTGGAATGCGCGCAGGTGCGGCAACATCTCGTATTGCCAGGTAAGACTTTCTTCTTTCTTTCGCTCGAGGTCATCGTAGTGAGATACGTTGAGAGAAATCAACGAATAAAACGCTCTTCCAATGACATCTCTAAACTATGAATATTTTGGATAAAAGTTTTTTTTACTAGCTTTAACTACTGCGTTAGAAATAAAAATGTACTTTCTTCATTACGTAAGCGTCAATAAATATCAAGAACGCAGCGTGTTTAAAAGAACATTTTGAAACTTCTAATGTTTTAGATTTAATTGAAACTAATTAAACTTTTTAGGTTTATGCTTCTCCCATATTACAGCAAATGTGTACTTTCCATTCACGAATTACCCCAGACAGCACCATGTCCAAAATCGGAATATAAGACGTCTTTTAGCCATCTTTTTAGTAAAACGTCTAAAAGATGTCTAAAAGACGTCTTCTTAGACGTCTTATGTCCCGCTTTTGGACAAGTGAGCTGTATGGGACGTAAGAAAATTATTATAGAGCATCTACCATCATAGACTTTATTTGAATGATATTCCTTTTTATTTGTATTCTTTTGTGCAAGTTAATTTTATCATTATTTTTTAATTTAATTTCCTTCCAAATGCTGAACTTTATTTGTATTTAAAATAAATATATGAGAATTAATAAAATGTAAATTTATAAAGTAAAATGATTCATACTAGTTACATGAGCAATACAAAGCGTTCAATGCAAGCATAATACGCAAGATATGAGACTTTCTAATGAGTATTCCAGTATTCCAATGTTCACTTCATAAATTAAGGGCTAATACCCATAGGAAACAATATTGGCAACAATATTGGAAAATCTAGTAAGTGTCGATCCATACAATTTATCAGCACCAACTGGTTTGTCACACCTGATCTCGTGCTAAATCGTCCGCACATCCGGCAATTCACATATACCACAGCTGGCTCAATTTGCAACGAATAACCAGAAGTGACTCAATAAATTAATATTTGGTGCACATTTGCTCATATAATAAGTATCAAAGAAATAAATTAGCAAATTTGTATAATAACAAAGTTATATCTTTTATAATAATGTAATTTATATAGAGAGTGCATTTTATAATTTGCATTCGAGTAATTTTGATTAATATGCAAAAGAAATTAAACTCTATTCAAACTTCAGTACAGGTTTGTGATTTCATAGTAACGCTCTATAATAACGTAAATGATTATTTTGTAGAGATCGAAGATTATCTTAAGAATATCTCCAAAGACAGGCGACGTAAAAGTGCTGTTTATTGCCGATTCAAATAAGAATAATCGGTTCTTTGAAATGAGTTTATTCAAATGTATGCAAGACGAGAATGCACAGTGAGCTTTCCTTTCAATCGACTGATGACTTCTTTTCCAATCGACGAACTGACTTGACTCAAACCTCACTTACATAATTAAGGATGTCTTTCAATGCAAAATGCTCGACTCTCCATTCTTACAATATGTAGATGTTGTTTCACCAATGACACCTATTACATTGTAATGAACGTTTTCGCTAATACATAGTAATCGTGGCGAATTGACGCCAATCTTCCGCACGCATCTTTTATGACGAAACTCAGTATTTATTCAAGCTACAAGATATGTCCCAATATACATGTTACACGTCTAATTGCTGGGTTTTCATCATCGATGTGAATTACATGTCTTTATGTTGTCACAAATGTAACAAAATTGCAAATGCGTTTAAATTCCCATATCAAGAAGACTAATTACTCTCCCTTGAAAATTTTGAAAATAAAAAGTTCTCAAAAATTTGTAAATGTAACTGCGTAAAAATTTATTATTACATTTTAAAAATTATTATAATTTATCTAAAAATTTTTTGTTATACGTACATGAAAGATTATATAATGCTCCTTGTTTTTTAATTTTTTTTATTTATTATATTTTGCATA